CTTGTCAAGAGAATCAAGGACTCCAACTGGAGCATCTGCATCATCTCCAAACTAGATGTCCAGATCCAACAGAAGAGGAAAGAATAGAGTTGAAGAAGGGCAGCTAGTGTCCTAACTCAGAGAAGAGCCAAAAGCAAGGAGCAAAAGTAGGAGAGTGAACCAAGGATAGTGAGCAGAATTTTTCAGTGCTGTGCTTGGAATGGAGAAGTATTCTAGCTGAGATTCCTCTTGTTTTACCAAGTATTTATCCCTGTGCTTTGGTCAGTAGCTGCTCAAACTACTGGAGATCCCTCTCTCCATGGAGAAGTCTTGTTCTGGCTCAAGTCTAATCTCACCTCTATCTTTAATGCTCCTTGGGCTCCCCTGTTTGTGCTCAGTAAAGTTGCTGATCTGGCATTTGAGGTCTCTACGAGGAAGTCTCAGTCATTCCCAGGTGTCAGCAAGATTATCACCACCATGTTGTTCAGCCTTTCCTCGAGCCCTTTTCCCGATCGAGGGTATTATTGTCAGTCTATTCTCAATCCCTCTCATTAGCCAGTTGGTCAGTCTCCTGCACATGTCTGCTCTCTACTCACTGTATTGTTCTGAGTACTGTTGGTTCAACACAGGAATTGAAAAGCATCAGTGATTATCCAACACTGAAAGTAGTTGGCCTTACTACTTTGGATTTGATCTACCCTTGGCCATCCTCAGAGCAAAGCAATCTTCTTACGTCATCAATGGCTGCCTCTTCTCTATCCTCCTCCCTCTGCTCATCATCAGCATCAATGAAGCAAAAAATCCCTTGGAAAGCATTCCCCTTCCAGTTACACCTCTTCTCCTTGGTGGTCCTCCTAAGCCACAGACTCTTTTACAAGACAGTCTACCTGCAGTCTGCCCTGAGCACCTCATCTTGCCCAAAAGCTCCCCTCACCTCACCCATCTTCTACCAGACTGCAGCCCACTGAGCTGCCTCTACAGGGAGGGAGGGATGACTTTGAACAGAAGTGCTAGTGTTTCCTTCTTCAGTTTCCCCACTTGCAGGGAAAGCAGGAGGCCCTGCCAAGGGCCCTCAGCATAGTCTCATGTCCTCCGTGGGATCTGGAATTTTACTGTCTAATGAGTGTAGGCTAGAATGTTTTTGATGCCAGATGTAGATTTTTAATGCCATCGTGTCTCTGTGACTACAGATGTTTCTGCTGTTGTTTTCTAGTTTCTGCCAGCCTTGTGTCTGCGGTGACTGGAACACCTTGCTTTTCTCCCCATGCCATCCCTCCCCTCCACTCTGCCACCCTTGATGAATGGATTTTGTAAATCCAGTTTGGTTGTATGGTGTGTGTGTGTGTGTGTGTGTGTGTGTGTGTGTGTGTGTGTGTGTG